AAGAGCAACAACCTCTCTCATTTCAGAATTTCAGAAGACCTCAACCTCCCAGTCTGTGCATCCTAAGCCTACCAGTTGACATGTAGAAAGAAACCTGACTCCTGTAGAAAGAAACCTGGGCCAGCTTATCCACTCAGGAGTGAGATTACCTACAAGACCATATAGGTACTCCATGCTATATGCCTATAGTCTTAAATATGAGCAGACAGCCAAGAAATCTCAGACACTTGAAGAAATTGCGCAGCACAACAGAGAAGACCAGAGGTAAACAAACAAAATCTTACCTTGAAGAAATCAGATAATTCAGAGAATGGAAAAAGACTTTTAAAATTCCAAATAGTAGCCTCAAAAAGTTTTTGAGGAGATATTACATCAATTTAACAGATATAGTCTGCCATGGAAAAGGAGCAACCAAAGAACAAGAAAGAGTTCTTGGAAATAAAAAGTATGGTTGTTGAAATTTAAAATAAATATCAAAAAAATTTAAGTATTGTTTTCAGCTTAGAATTTGATGTTCAACTAAAGTAGCAGAAAAGCATGAGGGAAAAATAAAGAAATTTTCAAACCTGAAATATCCAATGCCATCCTGGAAGAAAGCATAACTCAAGAAATGGAAGGAAATCTGTGCAAGTGTTTTGTATTGTACAACAATCTAGTAAGAGTGAATTCTTTTTTTCCCCCCCACAAAGGCTCAAAGACAATATGATAAGACAACTTGAGATGAAGAGGGAGATTGCAGAGATAAGGAAACAAACTGAGGATCAAGACAGTATCATTAGAAAACTAATAAATAAAGAAGACATCTTAAAGAACCACATGAACAAATCATAAGGAAAAGTAAAAAATAAACATGATAAAAGCAGAGAAAAGAGACAATAAAAGTAAAAGAATTAGAAAAAAAGAGAGCAGATATGAAGAACAAGGACTGGCCGGTTAGCTCAGTTGGTTAGAGCACGGTGCTGATAACACCAAGGTCCAGGGTTTGATCCCTGTACCGGCCAGCTGCCAAAAGAAAAAAACAAAAAAGAAAATATGAAGAACAATGGCATCTACTATGAAGACAACTAATGTCTCTGAAGTAAAGAACCTAACAGATAGTCTGAACTATGAAAAAAAAAAAAAGAGGAAAATAGGGCAAAGAGCTTCCTTAGGAAAAAAAATAAAGAAAACTTGATGAAATATAATTTAGTGATAGGTCAAAATAAAGAACTCAATAATTGGAAAGTACTGCTGGTGGTGAGCAGTGACTCCATCTAAATATAGAACTGAGAGTAAACAGGACATAATGTAAATGATATAAACCTCAACAAATAATATAACTACCATAAACAATGGAATGAGGACAGAAGATGGGAAGTTTGTTAGTGTTAACTTCATCTTTCCATAGTAAAATGTTAAGAGAAAGTGTCCAAAAATAAAACATGTAGTTAAAATATGTAATATTCCAGTTACTTAATGTTTTTCATATCCCTTTTCTCAACTTTGAAGAGATAGTCTGGGAAATAATAGCTTTTCAATGAAGAAATATTTATGGCAGTTCAACCATTTCTTCAATTTTACTTTAATTTTCTTTTTTTGTTGTTAATTTCTGAGAAAAAATTAAGTGGAGAAAAGTAGTAGGAATTATAGAAGGAACACATTTCTACCACTTGGAATTAATAATTATAAAACAAAATATTACAAAGAAATCTAAGGTCCCCTTTAAATCACCACTCCCAGTGCCATCCCTTCTATGCAGAGCAAAAGCTACTCTTTTCAGGTTTTAAGTATTTATATAGATATAGATAGATGGGGATGTATCAGTAACAGATATATAGTATTGCTTTGTGTGAATAATCATTTCTTATTTATATAATGGTATCATAACAAATATACTGTTTCTGCATCTTGCTTTTATTCTACATTATCGAATGAGCTGCATATAGTGCTAGTCCATTCCTATCAACTATCATATTCCACTGTGTGATTATTCCACGTTTATTTATCCATTCCACTATTAACCAACACTTAGATTGTTACTCTTTGATTTGCTTTTTGCTCTTACAAACAATGCCATGAACATATTTGTACCTTTGTGAAAGTTTCTCAGTATAACCAGAAGTATAATCGTTGGATTATAAAAAGTCTTTTCAATTTTATTAGACACTGCCAAATTGCTCTTCCAAATGACTGATAAACATACCCTATCCCTCAAGTGGTGTGAAAGCATGCCATTTTCTCCATATTCTTGCCAGTACTTGACATTTTTGGCAATCTAAGTCAAACAGTATCTTGTTTTTTTATGTTCTTTAATTTTCCTATTTATAGGATTGATAAATTTCTTAGGTAGATTCATCCTTTTATCAAAATGAAATGTTTCTCTTTATGGGCTGGTCTTTAGAGCATAGTGCCAATAACACCAAGATCAAGGGTTTGGATCCCTGTCCTTCAGCCAGCCACCAAAAAATAATAATAATAAAAGTGATAAAAACTTTTCTTCTTCATATCCTATTTTGTCTAGTATTATATTGCTACCACAGATATTTTTTGGTTACTTTTTGCCTGGTATATCTTTTTCTATGTCTTTTTTTTTTTTTTTAAAAGATGACCAGTAAGGGGATCTTAACCCTTGACTTGGTGTTGTCAGCACCACACTCTCCAAGTGAGCCAACCGGCCATCCCTATATAGGGATCCGCACCTGTGGCCTTGGTGTTATCAGCACCACACTCTCCCGAGTGAGCCACAAGACGGCCCTTTTTCTGTCTTAATATTTAGGTTTTCTATGTTGTTTTACGTGTGTCTCGTAAACATCATATAGCTGGATGTGGTATATATGTATAATTTTAATCCAAGCTGAGTCTGTTCTGAGTTAGTGTACTCAACCTTTTAATGGTAACTTATAAAATATTTTTTTTTATTTTGACCATTTTGTTTAGGGTTTTTGTTTGATGTACTTTCTCCTTTTCATCTCCTTTTCATCTCCCCATTGCCACTTTCTTGCCTTCCACTGGATTAATCAAGTTTCTTTACTCAATTTTTTTCCTACTCAACTTTTAGCCTTCTAGTGGCTACCTTTAAATTGTTACACACATCAACTTTTTTCTGCTAACATCTAGAGTTAATATCTATATCTTTCCCTTGAACAAGGCAAGATCCTAGGATCATTAGCATGTTTTTACTTCCTTTTGCTAAGTGCTCCCCTGTCCCAATATAACATACTACCATGCTGATGTGACTGGAATTTTAGTTCATAACATCTTTAAATTTTTTTAGTGCACTTAATATTTAGACAAAATTTATTTGCACACTATTTTTTCTTGTACCTTATTATTTTCTCCTACCTTCATTTTTCATCTTGCACAGCACATCTTCTAACAAAGAAATCAACTCACAAATCACATATCCAATAGGTGCATCCTTTGTACGCACACCAATCGGAGCAGTCCTAGGGTGAGATACGGTGAGGCAGATGTTTCACTTCTGTATAAAATTGGACCTGGCTCGAGTTCCCCAGAAATTCTAACTAAAATAACTAAAAGCTGTTATTTCAGAGTGAATCTATGGATAGCAAATTCTCTAAGCTTCTTGCGCACCTGATTATTTATATTTTGTCCCCAAATTTGAGTGGTGATTTGGCTGGAATAGAATTCTTTGTTGGAACATTTTTGTCCTTTCAGCACTTTGAAGATAGTTTGTGAAATTGGAAAGTGTAATTCTGTATTTAAAAAGAGAAATGTAGGACCTTGCTGGTTAGCTCAGTTGGTTAGAGTGTGGTGTCATCACACCAAGGTCAAGGGTTTGGATCTCAGTACCAGCCAGCCACACACACAAAAAAGGAAAAAAACCAGAAATATGACGTGTGTGTGTGTGTGTGTGTGTGTGTGTGTGTGTGTGTGTGTATCTTATTAAAGGAAGCAGAGGTGGATGGTTAGCTTAGTAAGAAAACCAGAAATATGACGTGTGTGTGTGTGTGTGTGTATCTTATTAAAGGAAGCAGAGGTGGATGGTTAGCTTAGTAAGGTTTGAGCATGGTGCTGACAACACCAAGGTCCAGGGTTTGATCCCTGTACAGGCCAGCCGCCAAATAAATAAATAAATAAAAATAAAGAATGAATTCTTGCTGACCTAAAAATATTGTTTATATAGAGGATCTATCAGAACTTGCTATTCTCCATCCTAATAAGAAATGCAAAGATACAAAATACTTACAATCCAGAGAGCTAAGAACCTTAACCAAGCAGAGCAAAAAGTTTCAAGTTAAATTTGACATGCTTTGTTTTCTACCATAAGTTATCATTCTCCCTATCGTGCTTCCTGGCAGAGATGTTTCCTTGAGATATAAACTTGCTTTATATCAAATCTTTTTTAACATGTAAATAAAATCCCTTGACCCCAAAGCTTGGGTTAACTCCAAAGTTCATAAAAAATGTTTTAAATAGCCACATTAAACCAAAACGTATCAATTTTAAGAAACATTAGTTCATAACATATGCCTGTTATTGTTCACTTAAATTATAAATGGTCTCAATTATTTTATTTATGCATTTCCTTTTATTTTCCCTCCAAAATGTAGATACTTCGTAAAACTTTTGGGCAGAGAAAGTTCAATTTTCTTGTCTTCCTGCAGCTGCTGCTATCAGGCTTGAGTTAAAGTTACCTCACGGAGTTTTCTGAAAAAAAGAACATACCATGAAGCTCTGTTTTTTCCACATGCTAGATTCTTGTGGCTGATGTTGCTGATGAAATGTCAGATGCCAATCTGATCCTTATTCTTTTCTTAGTAATCTGCTTTTTTTCTCAAATAAGCTTAAGAATTTATTCTAAAATTTACAGGAAGGAGAAAGGTCCACAAATGGCTTAGATAACCTTAAAAAGGAAAAGTAAATGTTTCGGGAAACATTAAGACATATTGCAAGGCCATTATAATAAGGCATCATTTAATGGAACAAAGTAGAAAACTCTGAAAAGGACACATTTATATATGGGTACTTGATATAAAACAAAGGAGACATCACAAATCAATGGGGAAAGAAGAGATCGTTTATTAGGTGAATTGGAAAAACTGGTTCACTATATGAAGGAAAATAAAACTGGATTACTACCTAACATTATCTATAAGGGTGAACTCCTGAAAAATTAAGGAACTAAGTGTGAAAGAAAAACTATGAAGTTAACTGAACAAAATGTAGGATAAACTTTATGATCTGGAGACAGGTAAGAACTTAAAACACTTCAAAAGCACAAACCATACAGGAAACAAATAAGAATTTGATTATATCGAAATTATTTCTACCCACAAAAGATACCACATAAACAAAGTTAATAGGTAACAGAATGGAAGAAGGTATTTGCAATGTCTAAAACATATAAGGGATCAGTATCTGTCATTCTCAGCATTGCTTCTGTCCCCCTCTGGTTGCAAGAAGGCCACTGCAGCTCTGGATAGTCCATCCAAATAGGAAAGCAGTCTTTCCTTGTGCATCTCTTGGTATCGTGGAAAAATACCTTTCATGGGCCGGCCCGGTGGCGCACTGGATAGTGCGCCGCTTGGGAAGCGCGGCGGCGCTCCCGTCCGAGGGTTCGGATCCCACATACAGACTGGCTCCCACTCGCTGGCTGAGCGAGGTGCGGGAGCAACGCCAAGGCTTGCAATCCCGTCGCCGGTCCCCGGTCCGGTACGGGGGCAACACTGAGGGTTGCGATCCGTTGCCGGACACGGAAAAAAGACAAAAAAAAAAAAAAATTAAAAAGAAAAATACCTTTCATTGATGTTTTCTAGAAGAATTCCTGTCAGGTCCCATTGGTCAGGACTGGGTCATACATCCATGTCCCAGTGGGAAGGGTAGCTGGAAAAGCAATTTGTGGACATTTTCAGCCTCTATAGTGGAAGACAGGCTGGCCAGCAAGGAAGAGGGGTTAGAGAATGGCAGTTGCAGAAGTAATAAAGATCATTTGCCGTATCTCCCCTCCATTTTCTCCTGTTTCTCCTGGCACTCCTATTAGATTGATCCTAGCACTTCTGGATCCACCCTCCATGTCTTCTAAATTTCCTTTCATATTCCCACCTATTTTCCTTTCTTACTCTTTTCTAGGAGAAATTCTCTGTCCAATCTTCCAGCTTACTAATTCACTATTCAGAATATCTACTTTGTCATTCAACCCATCTATTGCTTTATTTCAAAAATTGTTTTTCATTGTCAAGGTCTCTAACTTGGTTCCTTTTTATGCCTGCTCTTGGTTCATAGATGCAATAGCTGTGCATCTCCTTGACAATATTAATGTTTATTCTAAAGGTTCGTTCCAATTTTCTTTTTTTTTTGTAGTATTTGTTAATTGTTTATTTATCAAGAGAAACTATTTCTAAGCCCATATATTCATGTTTAATAGTTCAGGAACACAGGTGAGTGGCAAACTTCTATGAAACTTAATCCAAAGAAATTCTTCGCATTAGAAAATCACTTTGCACTCTGAAAGATACCAGCCTTCTTCATTTCCTCTGAATCTTTCATGGAATCATAATCTCTGTAGAAATCTGCGTAGCCCTCTTTCTTGGTTCAGCCACAGGAAACTTATAGGGAGCTGCAACTCCCAGGGATACAATGAATGCTCCAACAGCACGAAATTGCAGACGCCTAGCCAGAACACCACACTTCTGAGGTTTCATCAAAGCACCAGAAGCCATCATAGTTACTGTCCCTCAGCACCAACATCCTTCCTGGCTGATGGAGAAATCAGCTGCAGTTTGTTCCAATTCTATTAGCTATCATTCTTCAAGTAAAGTTTCCTCTTCCTCCTCCTCCTCTTCTTCCTCCTCCTCATCCTGTTTCAAGGAACTACTCAAGTATCTGAAGATTCTTTACCATAAGTCCATTTTTTCCCACTGAGATTCCTGTTAGATTGGAACTTTCCTGACTTGGGTAGCTGACCTTGGAGTTAAGAATGTAGTTGAGGGAGGCGCAGATTTGATTGCTGGAGCTTATGCTCCATGTGGTTTTCAATGAGGTTGGAAGACGGGTAGAGAAGAAAAGATGCCTCCGCAGCTAGTTTTCCAGGCTTAAGTGCCCCTCTTTTCTCCCTGGTATTGCCAGCCACTTGAGACACCGCCCTATCTGAAACATAGCTCCTCTGGAAACAGTGGTTGCAGTTGCATGACTGACAGAAGGGAGGCTGGGGTGGAGCACTGGGAGAATAGGCATGGATGCAACCCTGGATGCGGCCACTGTACTACCCCAGCTCCTGTTATGAGTGTTCTTCCTGCTTCCAGCTTCCACCACGTGCAATCTAAGAATGCAGCTCCCACTTCTTGTAGTACCATATATTGGATTCCTGCATGCACACTGGCCTGCTACCACCCTCTTTGATTCAATCCCATCTGATTTTAGTCAGGAATTTCTCACAATCTCTGAGAATTCATCTTGTTTTCAAATACATCTATAAATATATTAAACATTGTTTCCCTATCCTTTCTAGAGTTTGGAAGGAGGGAAACTGCAGACTGTGCTCAGTTCACCATAAGTAAAATATTATTTTTGTTAAAAATCATCATGTATGACATAACCTCATTTATACATTTTCCTTTTCTATTTGTTTCCATCTATCCATCTGTCTTCTATGCGTATATATAGAGGGAGAGATGTCTGGAATATATTTTTTTTTCCTTTTTTGTCTTTTTTCGTGACCGGCAACGGATCGCAACCCTCAGTGTCGCGCCCGTACCGGACCAGGACCGGCAACGGGATCGCAACCCTCGGTGTTGCCCCCGCACCTCGCTCAGCCAGTGAGCGGCCGGTCTGTATGTGGGATCCGAACCCTCGGCGGGAGCACTGCCACGCTTCCCAAGCGGCGCACTGTAGCAGTGCGCCACCAGGCCGGCCCCCTGGAATATTTTTAACTTAATATTAAAATAGTTAATTCTGGGTGGTAAGATTCAGAGTGATTTAATACTTTTCTGCATTTTCTGAACTTATAATATGTATCATTTTTACACATAAATTCATTCTTAAAGTTAATTGTCTTTGAGTATTGGGATTATAGGTAATTTTTCATTTTGCCTATCTGTATTTCTCTATATCAATAATGTACCTGTATTTTTGTTATAATTTTAAGAAAAAGTTCAAAAATTAGAAATTGGGAGTCACCAGGACCAGTAAATAGTTAGATAGTATCAATGAATATACTAGAAGAGTTGAGGAGTATTGCTATCTTCAAATAGGAGTGGTTTGATTCTTCATATTTTGATTTAGGTAATGATATGGATTAAATCATGAAAACAGGAAACACCCATATCAGGACTTTCACAGTTAAGTTATATGTGCAGTCAAGTCACTCTTCTCAAAGTCCTTTCTCTATGAAGATCAAAAGCAAAACACAGAGTTTGTAAAGATCTACTCCAAATGACAACCAATGAATGGATAAACAAAATGTGTGTAGTGGATTGAATTGTGTCCCCGCAAAACTCATTGAAACTTGAATTGTGTCCCCCAAGTTTTATGTATTAGAAACTTGGTCCCCACTGTGATTGTTGAGAGAGTGGGAAATCCTATTATGGTAATAGAAAGGTGGGGCCTTGAAGAGGTGATTAGATTGTAGGACTATGCCATAGTGAATGGATTAAAAATGGTGGTCAGGGGCGTGGTTTAGAGGGCTTTAAAAGGAGAGTGAATGAGGTTAGTCTCTCTCTCTTGCTCTCTCTGCTCTGCTCTCTGCTCTGCCATTTTCACAATGTGATACCCTGCCTCACTGTTGCCACCATCAAGACCCTCACCAGATGTGTTCCCTGGACTTTGGACTTCCTGACCTCAGAAACTGTAAGCAATAAATTTCATTTTCTTACAAATTACCCAGTTCCCTGTCTTTTGTTGTAAGCAACAAAAACAGACTAATACGATGTGGTATGGCCATACAATGGAATATCATTCAGCAATAAAAAGGAATGAAGTACTGATATACACTACAAGATGGATGAACCTCGAAAACATGCTAAATAAAAGCAGCCAGTTACTAAAGGCCATATACTGTATGATTCAAATTATATGAAATGTTCAGAGTAGGCAAATCTACAAAGACAGAAAGTAGATCAGTTGTTGCCTAGGGGTGGGGGTGTTTAAGGGAAATGGAGAGTGACTGCCAATAGGTACCTGGTTTCTTTTTGGGATGATGAAAATGTCTTAAAATTGATTGCAGTAATAGTTGTACAACTCTGTGAATATACAAAAAAAATTGACTTGTATATTTTAAATGAGTAGATTATATGGTATGTGAATTACATCTCAATAAAACTGTTAAAAAAAACTGGTTGCTTACCCATCTGCCTATTTGTGATGAGTATTCAGGCTTTTCTTTGAGCCTCTGAAATTATACTCTTATACTGGGTGAGGCTTGGTGGGAAACTCATTCATTCCATACAAAAACTGGAGCATTATCAACAACACAGATATTTTTAAAGGGTTTTATGATGTCCACAATTTGTTCCATTTGTTCTTCCTCCACTGGGTAGAATTCAAATTATTAAAAATAAGGATCACAAATAAGAACAGAACCATAAGTGCTAATGTTCTTACAGCTAGAGGCTAGAAGTGAAGTGAGATTATGCTCTGCCTTTCAATTTTAGGGGCTCTTTAGCACATAGGGGAGCTTATCAAATAACTGATAGTGAAACTTTCATATATCTTACTTCACTTGATCCATAAAACAACCTTTAATAGCAGGTATAGATCTATGTTTTACAGATGAGGAAACTGAGGCTAGCTTATATAATCTAAGGAACTGACCAAGAATCTGCAATAAGGAATCAGTGTAGTCAGGGTAAAGTACCAGAAAATATACAAAGATCAAGGAGAGTGAGAGGATATAAATTTAACCTACCTGAGGACAAAGTAAGTACTCATAACACCAACAAACAAAACTCACTCAGATGTCGCCCTTCAATGCCTATACTTTTGGCAGCCATCTCCCTACACAGGCATTTGGTAGCTTCATCTTCTCTGGAAGTCACCACTTCTCCTTGATTCTTTTTTATTTTTCAGAGACAATTTTTCCTGACCTTTTTACTACCTGGATTCATCTCAAGAACACTGTCTCTTTTTGAAGAATTTTCTCAACCAAATAATTTACATTTCTTTATCTGATGGTCTGGTACAAGCTAGTAAATTCCAGGGACCTCTTCCCTGCTTTTGCTTCTCACAACCTAATGAACATTTCTTCAAGACATATCATCACAGAACTACCAGCATACAATTAGATCTGTGAAGTCTGGTCAGGGTCTTGCACATTTTGGAGGGCTGGAGGGGCTCCCAAATCTATATTTATTTTTAGAAATTATAGGAATTTGGTATTTTCATAGATTAGAGGTTACTGCTTCAGTTTTGCCTTTAATATCTCATATTTCCCCCACACTAATACACACAGAGTTGCAAGTTTTTGTTGCATACAATTCTGGTCAGTTTATGTTTTACCATTGTCTTTGCTATAGTAACAAGACCTATATAACAGAGGCCTCTTCTTAGATAATATCAGGACTTGCTTCCAATTCTTCTGACTTCTACCCCAGGTTCACTTTACATTAGTCCATGCTCCACCTAACATAGATGATTCTTACATATTATGTACAAAATCTTGATAGAGCTGCATGGTTACTGGACAAAAAAAAAACAGTCTGCATCAAGTCAGGTAAATGATAAGCTACATTTTTAGAATTTCTCTCTTTTCACTTGGCTAATTCAATAATACAGACATCTGCCCAAATTTTGAACAAGAACTTTGTATTGTCAGAATGAATTTTCCTAGTAGAAACTGTTTCTGGTGCAAACAGTAGTAGCATTTCTCTTATATAATGCATATCCTAAATGTTATTATAATCTGAGTGACTAATGACAGCTTTTCCTAATATCCCATTTTCTCTTCATCAGTTTAATCAATCAGATTAAAAGACAGAGATACTGCATATGATTCCTTATATATCTGGGTTTTGGATTCCATCTGGTATCTGTAAATTTCCTTTTCAATCCACCTCCTTAGAATTCTTATTAGAGAGTGCAGAACAAAAATTCTATACCATTAAGTTGTGACCTGCAATAAAAGGTACTTTACATATATTATTTCATTTAATCCTCCCAACAACCCTATGTAAATAGATATTATATGACGAGCAGACACATTGTTAGAAAAGATCAGAGCTAACAGTACTCAAATCCAGGTATTTCCAATCTAAGAATTGACGTTCTTCCTACTACACCATGATTTATGAGACAAACACATTCATGTAACAGTACAACACAACTATAACTTTTCATAAAAGAAGTATAAATAAAATGTTGCCCAAACCCACAGTTCCTTTTGACTAGTATAAAGAGAAAAGGGTTCTTTATTAGCTAGTATAAAAACTGGGGAAGATTTTTGGGGAAATGTCAACTGTAAGAGGCCTTTAGTATGAATAAAATGTTAACAG